GCTGCCTGGGTCTCTGGAGTATTATCCCCATTTTACAGATAGGGAAAGTGCTTTTTCTAAGGTCATATGCAGCCACAGGATTTAGAACCTGGAGTCCTGATTACCAGCACCCTGTAATCACTTGTAATTTTGTTTCTCTAGGCTTGAGCAACGAGAGCTGGTCTATTATGAAGAACATGGCCACGGAGCTTGGGATCATCCTGATTGGGTATTTCACGCTCGTCCCAGCCATCCAGGTGTGTGTAAATCATGTGTGTAAATCGTTACGGATTTTGTGGAGAAGTGTGTAAACTCACTGGTGAGCACAATGTCAGTAGCTGATTTTCAGTAATATGCTGGCACCTCCCATAGGCTTTCAGTGGGCTTTATGAATTCTATGCACAAGGACACTTCATTCCCCATTGAGGTGCAGCCATCGTCAGGGTGAAACCCCATAGCAGTTTTAGAGTGGATGCGTGCACCACCCAACACTTTAGGACAGGAAGTGAAGCGTTCTGTGTCCTATTGGAACTTTAGGAGAATTTATAGTGAGCTGCCTTCTCCAATACCTTCTCAAGTGCTTTACAAACACCAGATCTCAAAGTGCCATGTTGGGGTGTGTAAAATCTCCTTTAACTGTTGTGGAAACTGAGGCAGCGTGCTGTTGTAATGTGCTTGTTGTCGCATAACAATTTAGAGACAGCAGTAGGTGTGGAATGCCAGTTCCCCGTTGTTTGTTCTCGCCCCTAGGTAATACTCCTGCCCTTTTGAGGAGGTAGAATTGTATTACCAGAGATATAGCAATAAGACTCTTCCCTTGAATGTCGAATTCAGTATTGAATCCCTGCCACAGCGTGACGTTAGGGGACCTTGTGCTGGTGGATGGAGCTGTCTTTCAGATGAGCTGTAAACCTAAGATCTAGAGCAGCAGTTCTTAAACTATGGGGCGGGCCTCCCCACGAAGGTATGGGAATGCATCAAGGGAGGTGCGAGCTGTGTGGTGGTGTTTTATTTACGAGCTCTGTCAGCCCTGGGTGCCTGGATTTCATGCAAAAGGGCTGTGCGCAACAGGGTGGTGGGGATAAAGGGGACAGCTGGAGCCTTGCCACCTGGGGGTTGATTGAAAGAACTTTACTGTCCAAACTCACCAGGAGGCAATCTAGGTTGGACTCTCCTGCATCCCCTCCCTCCCACCTAATCCATCACCTGGAGGCGATGGGCCTCTGACAGCCAGCCCTAGGTGACAGTAGCAGCACAGAAGTACGGGTGGCAGTGGGGTGTTGAGTCTATTGTGAACAGACTTTAGAAATAGCACTTTTCACAGTGCCACCTTTCGGAACTAGCGCTGCTGTCTGCCCTGCCTGCAGCACTGGGCTGGGATATATGTACTTGTAGAGGAAGAGCATGAACGAGGATAGATGCAAGAGGGGCCTGATTAAATCAATTTTAGGACCACTATGCTAGAGATTTTGTGGTGACTTAATTCCCTGTGGACTTGATTTTCAAGAGGGAGGGGTCTTGCAGGGTCTGGATTCCTCATCCGAACCCCGTCCAAGACTTACCTTGCGTATCTGAAGAGAGCTGCCCTGATCACAGCACAGCATATGCAGTGTGGCCAGGTGTCAAGTCTGTTCCCCACTTCGGCACTTTGAGCGTAGGTGGGGGCCCACAAGAGACTTTTAAAATACCTTGCCTGTCACAGATTCACTGGCCTTAGGTGGCATGCTGCCACCACCCAAGTGCAAAACCCCTTTCTTTTTGAACCTTGGAAGACTCATTTAGGAACTTTTTTTCATAGAGTACCCCAAGCTCTGTTATCCTTGCTCAGGAGAGAGCTTGAGAACAAAGTGTTATTTCTAATAGCTGACCCATCATCTCAGACACATGCACAAAGACCCTCCTGCTTTATAGGACACAGGAATCAGATCATAGCCTTGAAAAAGGTGATTTTATTAAACCAAACCAAACCAAAAAAGACACACTCAGTAAAGTATAGTTAGTTGCCAAGTGTTACAGAGCAACTGAGAACAGATAAAACACAGAGAATTGCTTCCCTGGGATTCAGCTTCAGTTACATTGTATGGGGGGGGGGGGCACATCAACTCAACACAGAGGAATTTAACCAAACCACAAAACAAAAAATAATCTGATTGTATTTAACTGAAAACATTCCCTATCTACTCTCATATCCGTAGTTCCAAGATCCAGTCCTTTTCTAGGCGTGGTATTCCTGCCTGGTTCAATTCATCTTTCCCCCAGCTCCTGGCTTGAACTCATGCAACAGAAATGCAGCAGGCAGATTCCCTTTCAATTCACATCTCAGCACTTTCTTCCCATTGGTTCTCCTGGCTCCCTGCTACACTTCCTGACTACCCACATTCTGTACTAGAGGCAGCAGTATGGGGGGACAGGCATCTCCCCCAGAGCTGGTGCTTGGAGGAAGCCTGCTTACAAGCTGACTCCCTGGGAGCACCGGCTCCCGCCTGCTCCCCCTTCTCTATGCTGGGGGGATGGGCCTGCGTGTAACCGAGAAGGTTGACTGATGAGCCCAGGCTCACCAGTTAACCATTTACACTATTACATCTCTTCCTAGCACCTTGAATGGCACAGATCAACAGGGGTATCAGTACAGGCCTTGCAATATTATGTAGCTCTCTCCCAGGTTTCAGGAAATCAGTGACCTTTTACATTCCCCATGTCTTCAGAAATGGCTCTTTGTTGACTGCTTGCATGAAAAACTAACTCCACTAGCCACTATCAAGCACAAGTCCAGAGGTGCTTCAGAAACTGGCGCTGTGTTGTCATAGCCAGCAGCTGTGCCGCTCCTGGTGTCACTCAGAATGTTGTCTAGCACCGTGGTGTGACATGGCTTTCTGTCGCTGACTGGTGTTCCTCCGATAGGACTGACACCCGTAGTCATGGACTTGTCTGATGCTTCTCCTCTGGGGCCTTTCACACATTCAGCAGATGGCTGACTTCTTGGTTTGATGTGACAGGTGGTCAGCGTAGGGCTTCCGGGGATTGTCGAGCTGCAGCGAGACAGCACATCAAATTCCAACAATTCAGGCAGGAGTGAATGCCATCTAGATTCCAAGTCGTCTCTTCCCATCATGCCTGTCTAGCAGCATCCAATGATTTGCTTAGCTGATCAGCAATATCTGGAGGATTCACATAGACTGCTTAGTACATTCAGCATCAAAAGGCACAGTGTAGACTGGATGGTAGTGCAGGATGGATACACGGGTGGGCTTGAAAATGACTCTTTGGGCTCAACTGAAAGCTTCATCAAGCAGGATGAGGCATGAATGTATGGAGGGAGCACTTTTTTCTAAGGCCTCTGTGGTGTCATCTAGTCTGCCTTCCTGAAGTTCCAAGTAGGGATGTTACATTTAGATTAATCAACTGATCGAACAGTGGATGGAATTTCCATCGACTATTCGATTAGTCAGTAAGGGCGCTTCTTCTTTGAAATGTAGCAAGAGGCCGCCTGGCTGTTGCTACATTTCAGAGTGGAAGTGCCATGCGTTCGGCCTTTGAAATGTACAAGAGCCTCAGCAGGGACTCTTGTGCATTTCAAAGATTGAAATGCTGCATGGAGCCTGGGGCTTGCGGGGGACCACTGCGTCCCACACTGGCCCCAAGCTCCATGTGGCATTCCGCTTTGAAATGTACAAGAGCCCCCGTGGGAACACTGCTGCTGCGCCCTGCCTCCTCCCACGGAGCTGGAATGTGGGGGAACAGGCTTTTAAGTTGGCTCCCCCTGGCATCTCCAACCCTCCCCCACCCCTTGCTGCCTCTTTCTGATAGAGGCAACAGGGGTGCGGGAAGCAACTAGTTGACTAGTCAATTAGTCACTTACATCTCTAGTTCCAACTTGGCTTGTTACAGGATCTAATGATTGGGAGTGGGTAATAGACAGATGGATAACAGAAGGTCTGTGTAACTATGCGTGAAGTCTTCCAAGTCAGACATAATGCAGGTTGGGAGTGACCATACCCAGGTGACACCCAGCACAAATCTAGAGTTTATTCACAAGACCATCTTGCTGAGGTTGAAGGTGTCCCCCAGCTTTGCTTCACGGATAAGGGTAGAATCATTGTTAAATGCCCACTCCAATGGCTCTGTGTTAGTGCCTGACACTGAGGGTGTGTCTACCCTACACCCTTAGCCCAAAATAAGCTGCGCAGTTTGAGCTATGCAAATTGCATAGCTTCTTTTGAGTTAATTTTGAAATAGCTTATTTTGAAATTTATTATTTCAAAACGGGAACTATTCCAAAATGTCCCTTAATCCCTGTGGGACAAGGTTTACAGGGACATCGAAATATTTTGAAATAACTGGTGTGCTGTCAAGACACAGGAAACACTGTTTCGGGCTATGGGAAGTATCCTGAAATAGCGCCGCTGCCTAGATGCACCCTAAGTGTCCCCAGTCAGGATGGTAATTGCCTGTTGAAGGCATTAGCTGGGGGAGCTAGTCTCAGCAGAACTTGCTGGTCCCAGTTAACATTTAGGGTCTTGTAAACATTTGTGAGCTGGAAACCTCCCACCTGACTCACCTGACAGACAGTAGGTATGAGTGGAGCAAAGCAGCTTCTGAGATGATTGGCAGGGTGTAGGTGGCATGACCACATGTGGTGCCCAGGCATGGCACAGGAGATGGAGACGGGCTCTCCTGCAGTGGCAGTGTGCCTCTCCTGCGGGTGGGCAGGTGATGTCTGTGTCGTGCGTGCGGCATTAGCTGCCAGCAATCCCTCAGCATTGAGCTGCAGGATTTTCAGGGCTAGCCCAACAGCTCCAACTCTGGAGGTGGAATTGCAGTGTCTGCCGGCAAGTGACCGAGACAGCCCTAGAAAGGACTTTGACTGTGGTCCTCTGGTTGGATTGCTGGTGTCCCCAGTATAGGTACTCTGGGGGTGCACGATGTGTCACTGAGCCATCTCTCTGGTGTGTATACCTAGGAATATAATTCACTTACCACTCTGGGATCCGGAGGACTGGCCAATAATTCCCTGTGGAGCTGGCATCATTCTTGTTCCATTACTCAGTGTCAAAGTTGTCGGGTCATGCTGCCGTGCACGTTGCCTGTCGTGACCTCCTCTTCCCCAGTGACATGCTCCACTTCCTGGCTGCAGCCTGCGCTCCTCTGTGCTTCCCTTGAAATGGCTCCATTTCTGTAACCTTCTCTCCAGCTCTTTCCCACCCGATCAGCCGCTGAACCCCATGTTCCACTAAGGTGGGCAGTGCTCTCCCTGTTCTCCAGCTGCAGAATCCGAGGCCCTGAAGGTGGAGTGGCTTTCCACGGGCCAGGGACACGCTGGGACCAGAACCTGACTCGCTCCTGCGTCTCTTCTTTGCGTACCAGGGTTACTCGGCCACATGCACCACCCCTGCTGCTGGTTCTATGTAATCCCTGACCAGCCCTGCTTCACTCCCAATCAGCCATGTGTACAGGGTGATAGCAGCAGAGCACCGAACGTCTCTACCAATCAGAGAAACCAGTTCCATCACGAACCCCCTCCCCCAACTGCCAAGCCTGTTAGAGGGCAGCTGTAGGGGCTACCTACTTCATCCCTTTTGCTCCAAGGCCTTGACTACACTTACGGGAGATCAGGGCTGCGGAGATTGATCTCCCGGGGGTTGATTTGGTGGGACTAGTAAAGATCCACTGAGTTGACCGCTGATCAGAAGAGTAAAGGGAGTTTTGGGAGAGACTCCTCGGAGTAAAGATGCTGTGGTAACTGGAGCTAGGGTACGTTGACTCCAGCTACGCTATTCACATAGCCAGAGTTGCGTATCTTCGTTCAACATTGCCCCTCGTGTAGACCTGGCCTAAGCCTCAGCTCCAGAGCATTCAGCGTCTGGGTCGCTGGCAGCGTGTTACACAATCTCCGTAACGCCGTGGGTGCCAGAGGGGCATGGTGAAGGCTGCAGGGGTCACTCTGCTCAGACACAGCTCTGAAATGAACAGGCCAGTGGTGCTGCTGGAGTCTGGTGTGTGTCTCCCCCTTATCTGTGTCTCTGGGAGCGAAGGACGCAGGAAGATAACACGCTGTCCTCGTGTCAGAGTCCAGGGAGCTCTGGCGGCGAGAGGGAGTTGGGCTGTAGAAATCTGGCAGGGACTGGGTTTGTATGCGCCAAAGTGAGCTGTGCGGTGCTGAAGTCATCTAGGCACTGCATGGTACGGAGACACGAGCAGGGGGAGGAGGAATAAGGCCAGGGGTCAGCTCCAAGCATTTAACCATGACACCTCCTCCTCCCAGGAACACCTGGACAGCCGATCTGAGCTGGGGGAGGAGAATTTGCCCCCTCTCCTCCTACCTGCTGCTCTCTCCATGTCCAGAGCAGGGTTTGGTTTGATAGGAGCCATTTTGCAAGCAGCGCTCTGGTGCAGGTTGTAATTGTGGGAGTCTCAGCACTACAGACTGAGGGTGCCCCTTTCCCCTGGAGTGGTGGCCCTAGGGAAGCCCGGTGGAGAAACCCCAGGCTCTGAGACATTGCATTCACCTTGGTGCTTTGAGGACTAGCCCTGCGTCCTCCCACTCCTGCCCTTGTCCTGCCTACCTTGCTCGTGGGAAACGTTTGACATTTGCAGACTGCAGGCCCAACCGTGCTCTCCCAGAAATCCACCAGAGCTTTGCTGCAGATGGAGCCGGACCAGAGTCTGCCTGGTGCAAGCATGACCAGACAGACTTTTACTGCCGGCATCCCTTGGTTCAGGTGTAGCTTCACCCCCAAGCGCCCTGCAGAATTCTGTACAGAGCAGAGCAGGCACAGCCTTTGTGGAGTCCCTGGTGTGGGGGCAGATATGAAATCCAGAAGGCGGTTCTCTTCTGGACCCACATCTAGCGGGTGGATTTGGCCTTGTGCTCCTCTTCCTGCCTCTCCCAAAGTCCCCAGCCAAGCTACTGGGGAAGGAGCAGGAGGAGGTAACTAGTGAAGAGCTGCCTTTGCTTGTGGCCTTGTTGTCAGAGGGGTACGTGAATATTTCCACATGGCCTGCTGGGCCTGTACATTGCCAGTTCCATCTGCAGCTCCAGGCAGTTGTGTTGCTTGGGTTTGGGAACGGGCCTGGCATGGTGGGGGGGTTAGAGTGGAGGAGCCACCCTCTCCCTTTCTGTCCCATTGTGCCTGGGTGGGGACAGGACATAACCAGCTCAGCATGTGAGGTGAGGAGGCAAGCCTGGCAGGCCAAGGGCCCAAAATAAGTGGCTCTTCGTAACCCCATTTGAGAGGCTAGAGCCTGGCTGGCTTCACAAGGGGTGAGATTGCACTTCCCAGGGTGGCAGCCAGCGGGCAAGCCATATGTGTTTGTCCTCTTCGCTCTGCATCCTGCGTGCCGAGTCTGCTGTGTCTCCAGACACCTTTATAACTATCGCTCATCGCCTTGGCCACAGGAAGGAGCACATGGGCGAGTCGCCAGGTGATAAAGAGTATCTTCTGGAATCGCAGAATCCTAGAACACTAGAACTGGGAGGGACCTCGAGAGGCCATCGAGTTTAGTCCCCTGCCCTCACGGCAGGACCAAGCACCACCTAGGTCTGTGGTGTCCAACCAGTTCTGAAGCAGTAGCCACTATAATGGCTACTGTTACAGCAAACTAGCTACACGCAGCCAGCCAAATAGCCACATCTGATAGATGTCCATCAAACCTGCTTTTAAATATCTCCAGGGGTGGAGATTCCGCAATCTCCCTAAGCAACTTATTCCAGTGTTTAACCACCCTGACAGCTAGGAAGTTTTTCCTAAACCTTCCTTGCTGCAGTACAAGCCCACTGCTTCTTGCCTTATCCTCAGAGGCCAAGGAGAACACTTTGTCTCCCTACGGCTTGTAACACCCTTTGAGGTACTTGAAAACTGCTCTCATGTCCCCTGTCAGTCTTGGGGAAAGGGCTCCCCAGAGAAATGCGCAGGGTGACTGCATTTGTTTACCGGTAGTTTTAGAGCTCAGGTAATTTTCTATTCATCTGGGAGGTTGGAATTTTCGCGAGCCTTGTTCCTGCAGTGACACCTGCTGGTGAGAGTTGAGTATTGCAGGGGGCTGGCAAGTCCATTTTGCAGGCCAGGTTTCAAAGTGGTTAGAAATAGGGATGCAAAAGAGTAGTTGAGTTGAGTACTCACATTCCCGCCCCCCCTTGCTGCCTCTATATCAGACTTCCCTATATCAGAGGCAGCAAGGGGAGGGTGGAAGCAGGAGCCGGTGCTAGGGGGAGCCAGCTTAAAAGCACCGTCTCTGTGGTACGGGGCAAGAGAGGCAGAGCTGTAGCGAGGGTCCTGGCTCGTGCTAGGTCTAGACCACTGCGACTTTGCCTTCTAAATGTATTAAGAGCTGCCTGGCACCTACTGCATTTGAAAGGCAGAGATGCAGCAGTCTGGACCTGGCACAAGCTGGCACTGAAGCAGTCCCGGCTCACACTGGGTCCCACACCTACTCCCACTGCAGCTCTGCAGTTTAAATGTAGTAGGAGCCGGGCTACGTGCACACCTGGCTCCTACTCCATTTAAACTGTAGAGCCGCAGCGGCCCCTTATCGACTAATCATGTATTCAATACAAATTGTATCGCGTACATGATTAGTCATGTACTTGATACTTAACATCCTTAGTTAGAATCTGAGATGACCTGTTAGTTCATGGAATCCATCCTCCTCCGTGCAAAGAGCCTAGGGGGACTGCCGGTTGTCTGTTTGGTGGACAGTGTGAAACCACACAATGGCCAGCAGAGCTGACATAAACTGGCCTCCTTGTAGCAGTAATTGACTAACCTTAGAGATGAACTCCCACATCTCTGTATCAGGTCCCATCAAGTCAGGGGTGAGACTAAGTGATGGATCAGTGCCAAGAAAACTGGTGCTGCTTCTGATTGGGGCAGTGTGATCTCGGGGTTAGCTGACATGATTGGGATTAGGTCCCAGTTCTGCCACTGCCTTGCTTTGCAGACGTGAATAATCCTGCCTCAGTTTCCCCAAAGCACTTTGAGACTTTTAGATGAGCAATGCAAAGAACATTAGGCTTGTCCAATGACTATACAGTCTCCAGAATGACCAGCTGAGCACCTTTTGCCAGAACAAACATCACACACACACAAAGGTAACAGGGATTGCTAGTCAAGTACACTCAAGGCTGCATCATGGGCAGGCCTTTGCTATGCTGCTTACTGTAGGGTTAAAAGAGCTACTGTAGGCTCAGAAAGCCCGTTGCTGACCCGTGGCTGTGTTGTGTCCTGCAGGAGTTTTGCCTCTTTGCTGTGGTTGGCCTGGTGTCCGATTTCTTCCTACAGATGTTTTTCTTCACCACCGTACTGTCCATTGACATTCGCCGGATGGAGGTAGGGGACAGGCGGGGGGAGGTTTTCACCCTTGAGCTTTCTGGGGTTGTGCCATGCAGCTAGATGAGGACAGCTTACACCTGTGCTTTTTGTTACATGACTGAGAGCAAGCAGGCTGGTTCGGATGGGCAGGAGTGCATGCAAGGTGTCTGGAGTTGGGGGTGAGTGGGGAGGCCTCGGGAGCAGGAGCAAGAGCAGTTGGGCATGAAAGTGAGCAGCTGCAGTCGCATGGTATGAGAGACCGAGGACAGGTGTGACTGGCTTTCAGATATAGGCCTCCATCTGTGGAGACATGGCCGTGTGTGTGAGCAGGCAGGGGCTTGGCTCCGAAGCGCATGCAGCTAACTGATCGCATGTTAGTTTCTCTCAAAGAAGGCCCTAGTCTCTGTGGCTCTGATCCACATGCTCTCTCTCCTGTTGGCAGCTTGCTGACCTGAACAAACGGCTGCCAGCAGAAGCCTGCATGCCCTCGGCAAAGCCAATGAGCCGCTCCCAGCGGTACGAGCGCCAGCCAGCCATGCGGCCAGCCACCCCGCACACCATCACCCTGCAGCCGTCGTCCTTCAGGAATCTGCGCCTGCCCAAGAGGCTGCGGGTGATCTATTTTTTTGCCAGGACCCGTCTGGCCCAGCGGCTCATCATGGTATGCCCTGTGCTGTTGGTTGTCTGGTTCACCTCTCCGCTGGCTGTGCACACATCCTGCCCTGGCTGTAGTTCCGTGGAGCAGACACCCAAAAGATACTCTCGGTGTCTCATTCCTTAGCAGTCCTTGCCCTCCCTTGTGAGTGGCAGCTGCCCTCAGAGAAGTGTTTGCTGCCATTAAATTAAGCAGAGCCCTGGTGCAGTCAAGATTGTAATGCTGCCATGTGGCCACTTGTTTGTCTCTGTAGTGTGGCCATTGATTGGCAGTTCCCCCTCATCCTGCAACATGAAGGGCTCTTGCCCAACCCTGGAGGTGGTTCTTCAGGTGTGGTTGGGTAAAGGGAGGACAGAGACCCTTGCAGACCAGCCAGGGAGAGGTCAGGTCCTGGGGGCAGCGTGAAAGCAGGATTTTACCACATTAGCAGCTAAAGCATTTTCTGCACCATGTCATGGGGCCCTGTTGTCCTTAGGGAGCCTGTTCCCCAGGTGCAGGGCACTGAATGCGGGGGAGGAACAGGGGTCTCAGGTGGAGCCAAGTGGTGCTGTGGGTGGTTTGCAGGTCCTCTTTGCAGGGTGAGTTTGTGGGTGTCCGTGCTGGGAAGCAGGTCTGTCCCTCAGGCCAGGGTGCGCCCTGAGGGGATGTGTTTGAGCTTTGGCCACCCCTCTGCCCTGGTGTCTGTGCAGGGATGGTGCTGAGGGCCTGTGAGCTCAACAGCCTTGTCTCTTCACTTGTGCGCTGCAGGCTGGCACGGTGATTTGGATTGGAATCCTGGTGTACACGGATCCCGCTGGCCTCCGCACCTACCTCACATCGCAAGTCACAGAGCAGAGCCCGCTGGGCGAAGCGGGGCTGCCTCCCATGCCCGTTCCTGGAGGGTTCCTCTCGGCTGGGGACACCAAGCTCGCCCTCTCGGTCTTCCCGTCAGAGTCCGTGCAGCGGTCAGAGAACCAGACGCAGCAGCAGCGGGAGCAGAAGGAGGCGCTGGAGGCAGAGCAGCAGCTGTGGGCCCAGGGCCTGG